GGAACCAGATGATCTTTAAGGTCCTTTCCAACCCAAACCATTCTATGATTCTATGATTCTATGACTAACCTTCCGTGATGCAATTAAACGTCCTTGAAACTGTGTGCACATAAGTAGAAGGAAATGGGCTATGTAAACACACTGCCAAATAGCCTTATGGTCTCAAGGAGGTATATATGGCAGTCCTCTTCTGTCAAGGGTCTCCCCCTTGCTCCCACTGATCTCAGGTATGGATCTCAGCATGTTCTTACTGATATCAGCAAGAATTTTTGACTCATCCATCCCACTGACTTCAGTTTTTAGATCTGTATTTTCTCTGACTCACACAAAACAGTTTTTTAAACAAGTGCGCTGAGAAATCCCAATTTCAAAAAAACTAGTTAGGATTGTGTACTGGTTTGAGCTGGGATAGAGTTGGTTTTCTTCATAGCTGCTTGTATGGTGCTCTGTTTTGGATTTGTGACCAAAACAGTACTGATGACACAGGGATGTTTTAGCTGTTGCTGAGCCGTGCTTGCACAGCCTCAAGGCGTTTGCTGCCCTGCCTCATGCTGCCCTGCCAGCGAGTAGCCTGGGGGTGCACAAGAAGCTGGGAGGGGACACAGCCAGGACAGCTGACCCCAACTGACCAACGGGATATCCCACACCATAGGATATCGTGCTCAGCAATAAAAGCTGGGGGAAGAAGGAGAAAGGGGGGACGTTTGGAGTGAGGATGTTTGTCTTCCCAAGTCACCGTTACTCATGATGAAGCCATGCTTTCCTGGGGATGGCTGAATACCTGCCTGCCAATGGGAAGTAGTGAACGAATTCCTTATTCTGCTTTGCTTTACCTATTAGTCTGTCTTTATCTCAACCCACAAGTTTTCTCACTTTTATCCTTCCGGTTCTCTCCCCAGTCCCACTGCGGGGGGAGAGAGAGAGCAGCTGTGTGGGGCTGAGCTGCCTACCTGGGTTAACCTACACCAGATTGCTGAGTGGCAATAATACCGCATCATTTACAACACCAAGCACTTAAAAGCATGAGTAGTAAAAGCATCAGGATTCATACTCTGACTACTCAGGAATATCTCATTTTCATTAGATAAGTGCAAAGGGATGACACCGTAACCAATACTAAGAAAACTATTTCGCAAGGCAAAACTTCCGTCTCTGAGAGAGATGAGGATATGGGAGTAACCACAGCACGAGCTGAGAAGAACCAGGACATGTTTTAGCTGAGTAGAGAAAGGCGGAGGCCATCTCCCACATAGATGAGACTGGAAGAATCTGCACGGTCAGGAAATGTGAAGAGGCAACAACTGAAGATGCAAGGTTATGGCCTGAAATGACATGGCAAATGGCTGTTCTCCACAGTGACTGAGAAAGGTGCAATAGGGAGAGCTTGTGGGAGGAGACGAAGAAATTTGCTTCAGCCATGAGGAGCTCACTGAGGTGGTGACGAGACATTGCCAAGGAGACAAGAGTTTGTGCTTTCAGTTTGAATAGAAGTGGATAAGTCTGGATCAGAAACAGACTTGTGAATTTCAGCAGAGAGACAGCAGTGGAATTTGTGCCCTGCAGTCAGTAGGTCAGGTAGGTTAAGGAAGGGATGGAGTCTCTGAGATCTGTTTGAGGAGAAATCGATGGAGAAATTGGCACGAGCAACGCCAGTGGAATTGCAGCAGGCGGCCCAGCACTGAGTCAGAGACGAACTCCAGGCAGCAAAAGTAAACAGCACTCTCAGCATGCTTACAGATAAGAGGGAGAAGGGGGGTGAGATGGTAGTTGTAGAGGCAAGCAGGTTCGATATGTGTTTTCGAAGTGGAGAGATTAAGCACACATTTGTTTTGAGCGGAGGGAGAAGCCAAGGCAAATGACAATGTACAGAGAGGAGTAGAAAAAGAGGTAAGCAAGCACCAGGGAGAGGAGAAGATGGAATAACTTGTTCCGCTTAACACTTGCATCCGTTTTGCAGATCAAAATTGCACTAATTTGGGAAGCAGTTTATACAATCCATAAAAACGCATTTTATTAGCTTTTTTTTTTCTTTGAATCACTGACTTCTAAAGAATGAGAACAGCCATAAATGCTATTGTCTCCACAGGCAGCAATTTGGAAATAGAAGATGCATGGTTACATGATAAGTGTATTTTCTTCATAAAAAATGTTTGCAAATCAGGTTTAAAATAAGGGGAAAATAACTTGAAAATATTCTGCACGTCAGAAAATAATAAAATGTCTTCTTATTTTCTCCTGGTAGGCCACGCAATGCAGATTACTTTATGCAGGAAGCTAAACGGAAGAAGCATAAAGCAGATGCAATGGTGAGAACATTTTCTTTCCAGTTATGTTGCTGCAAATTATTTTTGTAATGCAGTTTCTTCATCAGTGCAGTATTGCTGGGGTAATTATAAAATCTATTATAAGGATGGCTAGGCTTGTTAAATTAAGAAATGTTTATATAATCAAATGTTCATAGCCCAATAAACTATGACTTAACAAATAATGACTTACTGAGATAAAGGCCTGGATAAATAAAACTTTCCATTTATTCCTTCGCTTTAATTAGTAGCTACAGTAATGGAGGCTGGGTAAGGGATCCACATACCTATCTTCTCAGTTTATCTAGCTGGCTAGGTCCTATAATTGCATCCCCAAATTTGGTCTGATGGCTGAGGTATTTGTACTTTTTTTAAAGAGCTTTGGCTCTTCAGTGCCGAAAGAATCCTGGTTTCATGGCAGACCTCTCCTACTATAATCAGAAGCACACAAGGAATCTGTGTAACACTAGAGGAACACCTTGCACACAAAGGACTGTTGCAACAAACAGATTCTTGGCCCTGGCTGTGACCTGCCTAAAAATGTAGCCAGTAAGACCCTCTTGAAAAGGGAGAATCTGGGGTTCTATGGAGCACTAAAGAGATGCTTGTCTTTCCAGACAAATGGGTGCAACAAAATACGCAGTGCTCCAGGAGAGCTCCGCTTAGCCGTCCCTCGGCTTTCTCCAAGGCTACGTTTGTCCAGCACTATGAATAAGCTAGCACAGCCTTAAAAACATGAGGCCTCTGGGATGGCAGACGCAATATATGCGGTGGGACCCTGCATTAATACTGCTGTCTTGCAGGTGGGAGTAGCTGCAGTCCTGCCTTGCTCTGTCAGACAGACGCTTTGTTGTCACAGCAGCAGGAAAGAAGAAAGGTAGCTCAGAGCCTTCGTTTCTTCACCTCTTTTTCTCAGCTGTGCAGAATGTAAAAAGGCCAAGGAAGCAGAAGCAGGCCCTTAATTTAGGACACTAACACTGAGTTTTACACTCTACCTGAGTTTATTAGCGCAAATTCCCATGGTTTATTCAGTTCCATATTACTCTAAAGTAAGTCTTAAATCAGAAAATATTGTGGAGAAGTACAAATGGTGCACTTTAGTGTGTTGCTTTAAACAGAATGGAAAAAATCACTTAATACGCAAAGGAAATTCTTAGCCTGAAGAGAAACGTTTTTATGGTAGACTCCCAGAAACAGGAGGTACAAGCATTCTCTGCTCTGCCACAAGTTTTATGCATGAGAGTCACTTAGGCACAGTTTAAACAGCCTCCCATCAGTGTTAGGTGATTGAAACATCCTTCACATTCAGCTTCCGTACACAGTGGACCAGCACCTTACTTACACCTTGTGAATCACTCTTTGCAGGTACTTCCCCTCCCTCATTGACTGGGTAGGGATCCTGGAGGAATTGCCATATTGCCAAAGTGCCTCCAGGCACTTTGAATCACCTTGCTGGTCTCGATACCTCCTACTTTGGCACTGCAATACCTAACATGGGCACTTAGAGTGAGCAGCCTGAAAATTACTCTAAGTCTCTCTGCTCCTTAGTCCCCCATCTGTGAAAGAGAAATATAATAAAAAGTTTGTGAAGTTCTCTGGTATGATCGCAATGGGAGTCATATAAGAACCTAAAATAGATTGAAGCCAGTGTGCCATTCCAAAGTTACTATTTAAAATCTTTATCCCTTGGAAAAGAATAAGGTCCATTAACCTTTCACTGTGTGCATCAGATTTCAACCAAATGCATCCAGTCCATTAATGGGCTTTATGTACCGCAGGAGTTCTGACTGAAGGAAAGAGAAGTCAGGACAGAGAGGTATTACTATGATTCATCTCTATCCACACCAAAAATGAAATTCTGAGAGCAGATAAGTGGTATGTTGGGGTACACATATGAACATTATGTGCACATTTGCATATAAACCATTGTTGAGGACATATATGTATGTATATCGTGTAAGTACACAAATACACACACAGAGAGAGTCAAAGAAGTACTGAAAATAGGAGAAGAAATGGGGCAAGGAAGAAGGATGGCAGGAGAAGCTGAGGGAGCAGAGCAGTGGCTGAAAGAGGAGGAGGATATAGAAAGCAAATCCCTGACAAGAGGAGAGCGTGGTCAAGCAGTGCTGAAAATGGTAGGGATAAAGAAAACACGAGAACAGAGACGAGCCTTTGAATTAAGAGAGTTAGTAATCAAAGTCTTATTTCTGATTGTCTTAGTTCACGATAATCATTACCTTTCTTTGTTGAGTGATGAAAAACTACGTTTGCAAACTTATGTGAAACCCTTTTTCATGAAAGCTGGAACAAAAGGCCTGATGAGATGGTGGAATTTCCAGCACTGGACGAGCTTTGACAAAGATCTGTCAGGAATGTCCTAGGCAGAGCTGATCCTTCTTTGGACACAAGAATGCAGACCAAATAACATTTTGCAGCCTTTTTCAGCTCTACTTTCTGTATCTTATGATTTTCGCTGATGCACAGGGTTTGACGAGTTTTAGCTTTCTCATAGGAAAATTTGTGAATCTGAAGATACACCAACTTGCGTCAAGTTTACAATTGATGTTGAGAAAATCCCATCAAATGTAACCATATCTTGATGATTACACTATTTCTATGTGTCCTTATTTTTTCCCTCTAGGTGGAAAAGTTTGGAAAGGCACTGAATTATGCAGAAGCAGCACTATCGTTTATTGAGTGTGGAAATGCAATGGAACAAGGCCCAATGGAATCTAAATCCCCTTATACAATGTATTCAGAAACAGTTGAACTCATCAGGTAGGAAGGGAGGAGATGGCCTCAGGGGTTACTCTGTTTGTGCAAACTTGCTTATCTACATTATCACATAATTCCCTAGATACAGTAAAAGGGGAGAAGTGAGATCCTCCCAAGTGCCTGGTCAGTCATATGTAATATGTATGTATCATCTGTGATTTCTATGGAAATTAAATCAAGGAACTGTGTAGAATGAAAAAAAAAAACAAACAAAAAACCAAAAAAACCACAAAGCTTTTCATATTACTTGAGTTGCAAATTACTTCAAGAGTTTCATGGTATAAGTCCCGTGCTACTCAAAACGGAAAAATAATAATACATAATACCAAAACATTCTCATGGAGTGGTAGTTTGCAAAATGTTGCAACGTGCTTAAGACTGCAGTTTAACGGTTAGCTGAAAGAAGATGTAAACAGTGGTAGAAAAATGGGCACTCAAGGTCCATTTGGTGTGTATGCTCCTACTGTAGCCAGTGGAGTCCCAAAAACAGTCCAGCTCACACTAAAGCAGACCCCTACATTTAGTCACCTCCATGGCTCTCCAAACAGGACAGTCTAGAGTTCAGTCCCACCCTCAGTCCCTATGAAGAAAGTTTGCCTCTTAAATCCTTTCCTCCTTTATAGCTGGTACTAACAGTTAACGTTATTGACAGTGTCAGTAGAGAATACAAAGGTCAAAATCATCCCAGCAGCTGAGCGACTCTCTCTGCAACGGAGCGAGCCCAGCCACACTAGCAGAGAAAGCTGCACTGTCAGTGACCATGGCATCATTCCTCAGGACAGTCAACCACACAGGTCTTGTCAGGACTAAAGTTCATAGAAAGTAAAACATTTTAATTTTTAATCATATTCATAATGGAGCAAAGCTTCTAAAACCATGTCGTTCTTTCGGACTTAGTGTTGACGGAGTGATTTTCTCGCATGTTAACAATTCCATTGGCATTTTATTCCACTTAGGGCTGTCTTCTCATGCATTTCAGTGGATTGGAAGGTTATTAAACAAAATCAAATATTTTTTCAGTAAGGGAATAGTACATCCCATCTCTGCAATTCTTCCCTTCTTTTTTTCAAAAGGCAGAAAGCTCTTTCTTTGTCTGCCCTGTCTTTTCTCGTGATAGTAAATATATGGTCCTAACTCTGGAAATGAATTTTGCTTGCAGATCCGTAGCTTTCAATAATGTGTGTAGCTGTGGTTGTGTTGTAGTGTGAATTGCTGTTGATCTCACTTGCTGCAGCTCAGAAAAATAAGCGGTTTACTAGGCATGCCTGTTGAAACAAAACGTTCATACCCAATCTTTGCACAGGTATCGGGATCAAAGTTTGAAATAAGGAAAAACGCAAGCAGCTAATTATGGGGAACAGGTGTTTTTCTGGAAGCGAGCCCAGAAGCGCTGTGTGTTGTCCTAACCTTGTCCATTGTTCAGGTATTCAGCTGGAAGCTGAGACTTCCAGAAACTAATTTGTGATTGCACAGCACATACACTCTTGAAACAACTGTGGATGTTTAATACTTATAGAATTTGAATGTAATGTCATATGAGCAAAAATAGCTCTGAGCCACATGTTCCCCCTCTGCTGTGCTCTGCTTGGAGGAGCAGATCTGGGTAGACGCGCTCAGAACTGGCAGGGTGAGGGCAGCACCAGCTCCGAGGCAGGCCCTCTGCCTTCAAACGCCGTGACAACCTTCCTGCATGAAATCTGTGCAACGGGGTCTCCACAGCAGCCG